CAATTGAGTTCTGTCCTTGGAAGTTACTGGAGCTCTTGTTGTACATCTACCTTTATAGGGGAGGCCTCTCATCTCGCAGTCATTCTCCTTACCCCTACCCGTAATGCCCTTCAGGCTTATATACCTCATCAGATGCCTTTACCATTAAGTCTGAATTGGACCCTTCTGACTTCTCTTAAAGCACTTTGTGCTTAGCCCAAACTAGAGGAGGCTCTCTATGTAATTATGTCTTTACTCCTTTGTCTCCTCCCTTAGTCAACATCCTATAGACAGGTGTCAAACCAACATCCTATAGACAGGTGTCAAACCTTGTCTTCTCATCCTAACTGATTTGCATAGACATGGAATATAATACATTAACTGAACAAATGTATCAGTACATGCACTGAAGTCCAATTTGAAGTTACAGCTCAAAGAATACTATCTAGATACTAAAACCTATTATCATTAGTAATATTAACTAGGATAGCTAATATTTTCTTCTGCCCCTGGATTTGGCATTATTCCCAACATCAAGATTTCTACCCTCAGGTAAGTGTTCAAGAGATGAGCCAGCTACATCTTGCTTCTACCATATGCCAAGAGTAACACCCAAGATTCCCATGCCCTCTGGTCATCTGATTACATTTTTGTCTTCAATGATGTTTCTATGTTGTTTTCCCCACACATGCCTCAGGAGGCACAATAGACTTGCCTAACAAGGTTGCATTCTCATTCTGGATGATTATAATCCAGATACACAGGAGCGTCTGCAAAAAGGTGTGTCGAGCTGCTGGTATCTCAGTATGTGCTTTTGTTGGCTCCTTTCACTACACATTGCTCTCTGCAGTTTTTATTTTACCTTTTGAGCTAGGAAAATTTTAAAGGAAAAAAAAATCTGCAATGCCAAGAAAAAGATTCCAAGAGGTAGTTGGAGTACAAGGGCTTATAAGTAGTAAAACAATGTGGTCAATTCTTCTACAGGGTCTGGGTGTTGTGGTCTAACTTTTCTCCTGAAAAAACAAGCTCAAGTGATCTCTTCCCAGGAATCCAAGCAGCCTTCACAGAAAAGTGTGGCATTGTAGGATAAGCACTGGACTGCTAACCACAAGGTCAGCAGTTCAAACCCACCAGCTGTCCCTTGGAAACCCTATACGGGGTTGTTATGAGTCAGAATGAACTGAAAGGCATTTAACAACATCAGCAAAGCAAAGGTGCAGCTTCCCATTGAAAAGAGCAGTGTTTGGCCTTGTGACCAAATAATGGTCAGGCTAGACTGTGGTGGAGACCTTGTATCCTTGTCCAGTAGTGCAACCCTTAACTCCCTTGCCTCACCTTTCCCAACAGTCCACATCACATGTCACTCCCCTCCCGCAAGAGATTTCCCTTATAGCTTGGATATAAGATCATAAATTAATGTACATGTTTTTTCAGTGTTGAACTACTTTTCAGTGACCCAGTAAGTGTTAATTGCATACCTGTTATGTGACAGGCCCTTTACTAAAACAGCTACATCTCTTATTTCATTTAATCCTAGCAGTACTATGAGCTAATTATTATCATAACTACTTTACAGATGGGAAAATGAAGGTTTGGCAAAGGTAAATTATTTGCCAATGTATACAGTCAATAAGTGGTGGAGCTGACAAGAGTACTATTACTAACAGTCTCTAACTTATACGTCAGGAGCCCTGGTGATGCAAACAGTTAAGCACTCAAATCTGTCCAGAGGCTCCATGGGAAAAAGAGCTGGTGATCTGCTTCTATAAAGAACATAGCCAAGAAAACCCCAGGGCAGTTCTACTCAGTCACTCTGAGTAAAAATTGACTAGATGGCACCTAACAACAACTTACACTGTAAGCTTTCAAAAAGCAAGCAAGAAACTTTCAACAACTTATTTTATATAACAAGGTATATGACTAGATAAACTGGCATAAAACACACAAGTGATTTCTTATATACATGTAACCAAGATGATGATTATTAACTTATTTCACATCCTACTTTCATCAACTCTGTAATGAGGATAGATTCTTGGGAAAATGTAAAAATTAAGATGATGTATTTTAGAGCTTTACAAAAAGCAATTTTATTCAAAGAAAGGATAGTGTTCATATGTAAACTGTACTTTACAAGGTCCAGGGGGCCTTCCTTGATGAGGCAAGGTCAAACTCAGATTCCAAGTCAGAAGTTTGGAATCTGGTTATGGGTTGAGAAATGCGTAAGCTCCAATGCCCTTCTGTGTCTTCATTTGTACAATAAACCGTTAAATTAGGTCACTGGTTCCCAAATAATGGTCAGTGATTAAGATTTCATTAGTATGTGGTGAAATGAGAAAACTAAGAACAAGTGGCTTATCCATGTAATCAAATTCATTTTTTATACAAGTCTATTAAAAGGACTTGCTTTTATGAACAATGGGTTTCCCCCACCACTGGAACATTCTTACATGGCAAAATATAAGTATGTCCTTTGTAATGAAACCCTGATATACTGATTTACTGATCTATACATCTGAAGAGTCTGAAAACCACTAGGTAAGATGATTGCTAGGGCACCCAAATCCAAACTCAATAATTCCAACTCAAAGCGACCATGTACAGGCTTTCCGAGACTATGAATCTTTGTCGGAGCACATGGTGTCATTGTTCTCCCACAAGGCACATAATGGGTTTTGAACCTTGGAGTTAGCAACCCAACACCTAACCCACAGTGTCACCAAGGATGTTTGTTAATTCCCTTGCTACCTAAAAAATTCTGTACTCGTCTTAAGTCTTAGATATTATTTAACACAGAAGTAGGAAGAAAGAAACAGAGAAAAACCTTTTATCTTTTTTTTTTTTTCCTTATTTACTCAGCATTTCCCAAAATGTGTTCTGTGAAAGACAAATCCCTGACAAGATACCATAGTTGTTCTATTACAAAAAAAAGAATTCTTGGCCACATGAGTTCAGGAAGCAATGGGTTAAAAAGTTGGATAAGGCTCTTTTCTGAGATATTTTCAGAATCTATAAAATGCTAACAGCCACTGTGATTTCCCAAAAGCTTGAAATGCTTCAGATGTTGTAGGTAGGAAGCAGATGAAGTTCCCTCTGGTGCGCATGTACACACACATACACAGAGAGACATTTTTTAGGGCAATACACTTATTCCTGGTGTTGTGCTGTAGGATAAAGCACTGAACCACAAAGTCAGTTTGAACCTCAGGGCCAGTGGTTCAAACCCATCAGACACTCCTTGAAAATCCTATACAGGGTTGCTATGAGTCAGAACTGAATCGATATCACTTAACAACAACACACTTATTCCTGGAACTTTTGAGAAAGGTAACTTCAAGTAAAACAAAGTTTCTCAGTAGCTTTCATAATAAAGAAAAAAAAATAGCATTAGAAACAAAAGGATTTATCATTTATTTTATAATGTGATTATTATAATTTGACAGTTTTTCAAACTACCAAACTGTGAGTATTTGAGATTTTACAGTAGAAACCTGGATGCAAATACGACAGATTAAAGCTCAAAGCACTAGAAAAATAGTTGTGTCCTTACTGACAACTACAATTTTTTTTCTACCTTTGCAAAAAAAGGAAAATTGTGTCAAGAGGTTTTATTCAGGGATTGCAACATGATAATTTAAGCACTTGGAATTTGCAGAAGTTTGAAGAAGTTTGAAGTCAAAACTATAGCTATCATCCCATCACAGTGAATACAGAGTCAAATAAAACCATCTGTAGGTATAAGCCTGAAAAAAACCAACGGTTATGTCCTTGTCAAATTCATCAGTAAAGACAAATAATTTGGAATGGTTATGGCTCATAATAGATTTGTGTGAATACTTTTACTATGACACCAAGAAACAAAACTCTTTGTAGAAGAAAGAAATTGAATATTAATGTGAAAAGCAGTAAGAAATGTGAAATACCAACTATCTAAACTTTTCAGCCTTCACATTTGGAACTCTAGTTTCATTTTACGTACTGAGGAGAGATCAGCTTGCATTTGGGACAAGAGGACTCGAGAGCAAACTATCCAGAGAGTAGACCTAACAACCAGCTTTTACATAGTCAGACACCAACCACCTGTCTTTTTGACTCTATGAGCACTCACCCGGTTTTGGACAAGCCTGTGGCTAAGCTTTACTTTGTTCAGTATTTTCGATCATAACTGGATGGTAAGTCCTTGCTCATTTTTCATAACCCTGCTGACTACAGCACTCTGTGACCATAAAATTCCTTTATAGACAGAGAAGTGGCTTAGAAAACTACCTCTGTAAAGAAACAAAAAATAATGGCAGCATTTGTGTTCAAAGACAGTGGAAGTGTCTCTTGTTTGGGTGAATTTTAGGTTCTAAATTTAGAGATTTTCATTTTCTCCCAATGACATTTATAAACAAAATACCAACACTAAAATGAGAGCAAGTCAGCTAGGAAAAGGGGGAGTGTGCTGTCCAGCAAATCAAACTTTCTCCTAGATACTGGAGAGACAGACGTGTCTACGAAAAGCACATGACCGTACTTTGGTGCTTCATGCCTGGAACTCCCTCCACCTTCAACTTAACAAATATGTGGGCAGTTTATAATCAGCATCCTAGGTTTCAGTATATTATATTCAGTAATAGCTTCTTTCAGACTTTAAGCTAGAAATGGTTTACTTTCTAGGTAGGGGAATACAAACATCAAACAACTCTTTTTAACAGACCCAACAATACCCAACAACATAATTTGATTCACTATAAAGATATTATAGTTTGAAATAACCCATTCAAGTCACTGTAAACATCTGTTAAACTTAATAAAAAATTGGTTTTCATTTGTACAATACAGAGTTCCAGTTGAAAAGTAAATTACAGAAGGGGGAAGAGAAAGTAAAAGTCTGACTTCTTCACATATTTGAACTTTACATTTCTGCAGAATAACTCTACTCCCCCATATGGTAAAGCAGATCATATTTAACATCAACATTTCAAAACTCAAGACTCTTAAACATTACTCTTAAAACATAGAACATCAGAGCTACTTGCCTTTTGGCAATTTCTGTGCATTTCCCAGGGTTAGTGCAATACTTCCACAGAGAAGTAGACACCCCAAGCTGGAGAGCATGTTGCATTTGCCACTTCGCACGGGGAGTGATGTTAGTGAATGTCTTGCAACCCTGGAGCTGCATTTAAGTGGACTGTCTCCCAGTGACAGAGGCAGCGGCTGCACTTAGTGGTGCTGTGGACTTACTCACAGGGGGTGGAGACAGGATGACATCACACCCTTTCCCACACACACCAAAAAAAAAAAAAAGTAGGCATAACAGCAAAAACCTATCATCACATCCCCCTCTGCTAAGTTGTTTCTGTCTCTTCTTGTCCCTCAGTGATATATCATTGAAATTATGGTTAATGTGAATTTGTGAAAGATAAGAAATATTTAAGCAGTTTTGAAATCCTCAATGAATTATCTTTAAAAATCTACAAGAGACACGCTCACCATCATTGGGACATACAAACTATAAAATAAAATCCTATTAAGAAGGAGACGGTTTTTTAATTGTTGTTGTTGTTGTTAAGTGCCGTGGAGTCGGTTCCGACTCATAGCGCCCCTGTACAGGGTTTCCGAGGCTGTAAATCTTCACAGGAGCAGAAAACCTCATCTTTCTCCCGCGGAACAGCTTGTAGTTTCGAACTGCTGACCTTAACGTTCGCAGCCCGATTCATAACCACTACGCTACCAGAGCTCTTTAGCCAGTAAGAAAATTGCATTTTTCTTTTAAACAGGAGTGGGCCCAGAAAATTACACTTCTAGCATTCTGCAGTTCTAATGTAGTACTATAGAATAAACACTGGATCACTAATCACAAGGGCTGTGGTTCGAACCCACCAACCACTCCTCTGAAATCCTACACAGGGTCACTACGAATTGTAACTGACTCGACGGCACTTAACAACAACAATATTATGACAAGTCCTTAATAGTAAGATCAGGACTCCACAGCTATAAATTATATATAATATATATGAGTATATGATGTTGTTAAATGTCATCAAGTCATTTTCCAACTCATAGAGACACAGTATAGGGTTTCTGAGGAGCACCTGGTAAGCTCGAACCACCGATCTTGCAGTTCAAATCAATTTTGTGGTTCACACCAACCTTGCAGTCCAGTGCATTATCCTACAGCACCACACCAGGACTCATATGAGTATATACATATATTATATTCTGTTGTTGTTGCTAAGTGTCGTCAAATTGGTTCCAACTCATAGTGACCCTGTATAGGGTTTCTAAGGCTTTCAATTTTTGTGGCGGCAGAATGTCTTATCTTCTGCAGTGCAGCAGGCGGGATTCAACAGTGGACCTTGTGGTCTGCAGTCCAGTACTTATTGTGTGGAGCCACTGCACTCCCATTATATTCTACAGATTGATATTCTATATTATATTCTATATAGACAAAGTTCTAAAATCCTCTAAAGAGGATACTATTATAACTAATTGATTCCCAGCTCTCGGCCAGGCTCTGTAACAATATCTTTACCTACACTTGTTAAGTGCCATTGAGTTTGTTCCGACTCATAGCAATTCTGTATAGGGTTTCCAAGGAGCAGCTGGTGGGTTTGAACTGTCAACCTTGTGTTTTGTAATCCACTGCTGATCTTACAGTACCACACCAGGAGTCCTTACCTACACTATTGCATTTTAATACCCACAATGATTATGTACAAGCAATACCTTATTGTCCCCATTTTATTTGCAAGAAAAACCGAGGCTCAAAGAAGTATCCTGGCCACACCATCCTGGCCACACCAGGATATTCAAATGGTTATTAATGTGGATGGAATTTGGAGAAGAACTCACTGGAGTTTCAATTTTGGATGGTACTTATTAATTACATGCCCTTGAACAAAATTCATCTATACATTAACAATACTGATTAAATTTTTGTATGCTCCTGCGAGATGCTGGTCTAATCAAATACATGCATTAACACATTCTACCAACCCTCAAACCCTGTGTAGGGTCACTATGAATCGGAACCGACTCCACAGTACTTAACAACAACAACCAACCCTCAAAGCAATCCCTGAGTCAGGTATTATCATCACCCTAATTTTGTAAGTAGAGGAACTGAGCTTGAGAAGTTAAGTGAAAGGCCTAAGTCCACACACTGGGAAACTAGGGAGCTGGCATTTTAAGATGCAGTTTAACCCCAGAGCTTCCACTCTTAACTATTAAACTCTTAAATAGAAATGACAGTACCAATTTCATAAATCTGCCAGCAGGATTGAAGGAAGCATTTACTACTACGGTACCTGGTACAGCGGAAGCATTTTATAAGTGGGTGTCGGGGAACTGACTTGATGGCGCTAACCACAACAATAACACCCACTGCCATTCAGTTAATTCCAACTCATAGCGCCACTAGAGGACAAAGTAGAACTGCTCCATAGGGTTTCCAGGACTGTAAGTTCGAAACTACCAGGTGCTCCGCGGGAGAAAGATGAGGCGTTCTGCTCCCGTAAAGATGAACAGCCTCGGAAACCCTGTGCAGGGTCGCTATGAGTCGGAACCGACTCCACGGCACATAACAACAACAACAATATCTTCACAGGAGCAGACAGCCTTATCTTTCTCCTGCAGAAAGACTGGTGTGTTTGAACTGCCCACCTTGCAGTTGGCATCACTGCACCACCAGGGATTCTTACAGCAATAATAGTGATGACAATCATTTGTTGTTGTTGTTGTTGTTATGTGGCAATTATATAATCACAATTAAATTAGAAAGGTGATTGTATCTACCAATAAAGTCTATGTACACTCTTTTTTTCCTACATCATATTGCCCAAATAGAAGCATATTGGTGGACTGACTGGATTCATTATTGGTGTTTGCTGTTGCCGAATCCACTCAGACTCACTGTCACCTTATATAACTGTGTTATTCTTATAATTGCCAGCATGCATGAATCCATCATTGCAGACACTGAGCATCTCCTATGCCTTCAATGACCCTCTACTTCATCTAATATAATCTACCTCCTCAGACAGTGAAAGGCATTTCATGATTTCCTCCTCCTCATGTAAGACACTTTAATGTTGTTTGTGTATTTACACAGACTCTTTGAAATTACCTATTTCATGAAGTTTCTGTACATGAGCCAAAACAGTAAGAGGGAAGTGGAGTAACGGTGACCAAAGAAAATTCTAGTCAGAAATTTACCCCAAATAAAAGAAAGAAAAATTTAGAGACAATCTCATCTTCCAAATAAAACGTGAGAAGGCACATTGCTAAAGTCATTAGAACTGGCCTGTCTAGGCTCTCACTGTAGGAATGTCCTGGCACTGGTTACGGAAGAGACTGGGCTATTTAACATGTCGTTTTCGTCTCCAATTTTTCACTAGAATAGGCAGCTCTCTCAAACCTGAGCTTGGACACTCTTCCAACTGGCACTGCTGGTTCAGCTCCTATATTCCACTGCCATCAAGTTAAGCAAATGTAGTCACTGTGTTAGCAGGAAATGGCAGGTTTTCTGAGAGGAAAAAGCAACAGGTATACTGAAATGGCAGCTACTTAGGTAGTCTCTGCCAGGTTCACAGGCTAAGTCCAGTCCACATTAATAATCATTATTTGTAGTTTACAACTGATTTGAGGCTAACAAATTAAAGGTAGGGACTCCTGGTGTGGCGCTATAGGATCAGCACCACAAGGTCATCAGTTCAAAGCCATCAGCTGCTACTCAGAAACCCTATACAGGGTTGCTACAAGTCAGAATTGATTCGATGGCGCTTAGCTACAAATAAAAGTCAAGCTCTAATTATGTGAGAAAAAGATGGATGCATTTCCTTAGCTAGTTAGACAAATTAATATTCAGTGAAGAACACTGGACTTCTCCTCAGACAGGAAACATTCTAAAGAATTGGACCATATCAGAGGGGACATTTTACCTTCTCAATGAACAAAGAGTTTTCTGTCACAATGGAGTTCGACTCAAGTAATAGGTATACAAAATTTAAGTATAAATGCCTTAATGGGAGTGGGGGGGCGGGGAATGTGTGCTAAGGTCTTAGTTACGTAACCATTAACCAAGAGCATTAATCATTAGAATATTTAAACTCATTCCTAGAAAGAATTGTTCTTTGATCATAAGTACACGGCAGATGGTGACTATGGAGGAATTTACACATCCCTGTTAGCCTTCTCAGTTTTCATGAATGAATGCCAATCTTAAGTCTTGGGTTAAATGTCTCTTAAGACCAGTGTCTCTTTATTCATTTGTAAATAAATGTAAAGTCTGAGATACTAGTGTGATAGAATATTGAGTTCATTGGTAACAAGATTTATGAAAATCATTATTGAGAGAAACATTTGGGAAGAGCTGCTTTTAAAAAATAAATTATAGTTATATTTGCCTCTCTGTCCTGTGAAGGCAGGATCTGTGTCTGTTTTGTTTATCACTGTTCCCAATGCCTAGGATGTAGTAGAATGGACTAAACATATGATGAGTGAGGGCCAAGTGATGCTCAATTGATCAATTCCTCCAAATCAGGAGTGGTAGTGTAGGGAACCTTTTTCTATAAAGGACCATTTGAATATTTATAACATCATTCATGGACCATACAAAATTATCAACTTCAAAATTAGCCTGCTATAATGTGATGGCTTGAACTGTAATTATTGCAGTCCCCTCCATGTGTCATCATACGTATTTACTTATTCCCTCTGTTTTTGTTTTTGTTTTGCAGCCTTTTTTCTGAGGTTCCCCAGATGAGTGCATTACATTAGCAGATGAGTGCATTAACCATTTGTACCCATCAGTGACTCGCCTTCTGTTTAGGTGATGAGCCAGTATTATTGTCATGAACTGTGACGAGTCTAAGATTTTACCCTGTGTGCAAGCTAACAGGTTTCATGAATACTAACAGAAGAGAGATATTTATGGGTAAAAGACAAAGGATATTTTATTATTCACAGCAATGGCAGTAGCCTGAATATCGACATTTATGTTGGTTGTTGAATGGAATGAGGAGGGGTAGTTACTCCCAGTGTATTGTGGATGTATTTCTGGAGAGAAATCCTGAGTTTAGGGATCTTGAATCTTTTATAATGGGAACTAAGTATACTTTTCTTTGGCCTCAGAGGGAGATATTACCTATATTACACAGGATAGTAAACAAAATTCTATCTTCTAAGACTGTTCACTACATAAAAATCCTTGAAAGGAAAATGCAGAGCACAGGGAATCAGTGTCTCTCTTCGTGAGATATACAGGTACATGAGTGACACTTGGAGAAGCATCTCCCAACCACTCTTTTAGTCACATGGTCCAATTTTATCAGGCTTAAACCAAAACGAACTTTTCGATTATCTAGAGCAGAGGTAGGGAACATCCATTCCACGGGCCATAATTTTATCTGACCCTGGCAAGGCAACTGCAGTTCAAGCCATCACATTATAGCAGGCTAATTTTGAAGGGGATGTACACAAAAACACTCAGGAATATATAATCATTTAAACAACCAAAGGGTACATTCTGCAAACTTAGCTGGATAATTTTTAAGTTGATAATTTTGTATGGTTTACAAATGATATTATAAATTTTGCCCTACACGAAGATTTTAGGAAACAAATCAGGCCAGTGGTTACTAGATAGTGTACTCAGCATTATAGATAGTGGGAGAAATCCCTAAGACAATCACTAGTCTGAGGCTACAAGAAAGTTTTCCTGAAGGCAGTGACTCAGCCAGTCAGTCTTAAAAGAAATAAAAGGGCAAGGATGCCCTTAGTTTCTATCATAGTAAAAAAAACTATCT